CCTTTTTCTAACCCCAGATTTTAAAAAGCAGGGATCAAAGGGCTTCCTTTTTTCTAAGCCCCGTGCTTGCCAAAAGGCAAGGAAAGCACTGTCAAAGTGATTGCCTGCTTTTCCTCGCTTTTTAAGGAGGAGGTTAGCAAAAAAGAAAGGCAAGGGCACGCTGGGATTAGCAAAAAAGGAAGGGAAGCCGTTGTTGCCTTTCCTTTGCTAACATTGTTTTGTTGCCTCCACCACGGGAGGGGACAAGGCAGCGGGCCCACGCCTCCTGCTGTCTCCGCCCCTGGAGGGGACGGAGGGGACAAGGCAGAGACTGAGATGAGCCCCTCAGTCTCGCTGGAGGAGGTGATTGGGCGGGTGGGGGGGAGGCAGGCATCAAGAGGTGCCAGAGTGTGTGTGAATGCTCCTTCACTTCCGTCTCTGCCTCTTCCTGCTGCTGCTGCCTCGGCCACGGAGGGGAAAAGCCGTGAGCTCTGAAAGAGGTTACTGGGTGGCAGCAGCAAGAGGCGCCCGAGCGAGCGTGCACGACTGCTTCCTTCCGTTTATAAGACGACCCTCAATTTTTCCTTCAATTATTTTAGGAAAAAATGTCATCTTGTACACGGTAAAATATGGTAATCAGGGAAGCTTTTCTCTCAATTCCACCACCCACCCAGGCACACTTCATGGGGACAATTGAGAGGGCTTTCTCTGTTGCTGCTCCAGACTCTGGAACTCCCTCCCACAGAAGGCCAGACTGGCCCCATCTTTGCTGTCCTTCTGCAAAACAGGCAAAGACCTTTATTTATTTAATTTGTTTTAAATATTTATATGCCACTTTTGTCTTACAGCATCCAAAGCAGCTTACAGTATTAAAAGAAACAAAGTTAAAAACCATATAATTAATTTATATAATAAAAAATATTAATGTCTGTTCAGGCAGGCTTTTCCTTAGTGAATTTCTAGGAGACAAGAAATGAGATGGTTTATATTCTGTTGCTTCTAAATCTAGTTTTTGTGATGCTTTTACCTAAATTTTTTAACATAATGTTATTCATTCTTATTTAATAGTTGAATAATTTACTGTTTTTAGTTTTTAATATTTTTAAATGATATAAGCTGCCTTCAGCACTTTTTTAGGAGAAACGCAGGGTAATTTTTAAAAATAAAATAAAACAAATAATATTTCTGTGAAGTTACTAAACTACAGTGAGAGAACAGCAAAGAATATTCTAGAGAGCACGTTGTTGTTGTTTAGTTGTGTCCCTCAAATCTAATCAGCAGTATAAGTCTTTGTTTTTGCCATACATACATCTCTGTAGAATATCAGGTAGAATGGCTACAAGGGAAAAGACAGAGAGACAGACAGACGGATAGACAGACAGAAATAAAGAGCATATAGTGATTGCAGTATGAACCCTCCCTAGGGGTCCAGGGAACTGAGGGCTTAGGGAAGACCTTGGGCTTTACTGGGGGATTTCTGCTATCACCTGTCTTTTCTTATACCACCAGCAGTTCAATCTACTGTATTACTTTCAGTTTTCCCTCTCTCCAATTCGATTCACTGACTATCATTTTAAACATCCAAATGCTGACAAGGATCTGAAGTAACTTTTATGATGCTACTCTGAAGGGATGTAGAATGGTTCCTTATTCCACTATGTAGCTGTTCTGGAATCAGATACATTTTCCTGACCCATTTTGTTTCTGCACATTTGTCAGAAGGCAGTGCACTTCTCCAATTTCCAATCAATTATCAGCAAAATTATGTAGAAATTATAACCCTGTTTTTGTACATTCTCCCCAGACCTGTGTTCTTGCATTCTTCATATGCCATTCCTTGCTGAATTCTAAAAACAATGTATTTGTCCATGTAAATCTTATGCTCTTATTTGATTATTCATCAAGCTTTATCATTTCTTTCCACGAAACTATATTTTTGGTGATATATTTCAGCATCCTTTGATGTTAATAAATACACACTCACTATCCTAAATCAATGTTACAGAATCTTCTAATTGGGGTGCTCTTCCTCAAGGTAGCTGTAGGCATAAAGGGTTAAAATCCTTCCTCCATCCCTAATCAAGCATGCAAATATACCACAAAATGCTTAGGTGCACTGCCTCATAAAAACTGAAGTGTCAATCAATAGTATATACCATGCTATGGCTGTGTAATAGTTCCATGGTTCAGCTCATTGTGGTGACAAGCTGCATCTGAAGGAGTTGCATGATGGAAGCCAATCCCCCAAACAGACATGCAAATGAGCTTCAGACTCCTTAACATAGGGCTATATCCAATATATAAGCTGTTAACTACATGATAAAATACTGTGGGATTTGCTGCGGCAACAGTATGGGTTGATTCAAAGTATTTTTTTTCCTGATCACACAATGCAAAGGCTGATACAGTCTCCCCCTCATTCTTTCCCCCTCTGCCATGAAGTGCTTCTACATTGATCAAGCTAGAACAATTTGAACAGATTTTCCCCATGTGATAAGTTGATTCATTCTTGTAAAGACAAGGGGGATGTCTGTAGCTGTTGTTTCAGTGATGTAAACATGATGTTCAGGACTGTGGGAACACCTGCCCCTGCATTCTCCCCTCCCAATCATCCTCTAATTTTTCTTTACATATATGCGATTAGCACTAGCTCATCTTATCATCAGTATTGATGTGCTAGTTTAGTACTAGATCACCCCAGAATGAGAGAAAAATGGACAAAATAGAAACAACCTAGTTGAAATAAAAGATGTTCCTATATTTCTGTAAACTTTAAGAAAAACTTTAGAATGTTGCCACCTCTTCCAGAATACTGTACAGTGGTGCCCCGCATGATGACGATAATCTGTTCCGTTAAAATCGCTGTACAGTGAAATCATCGTCATGCAAAAAAAAAACCCCATTGGAATGCATTGAAAACCAGTTAATGCATTCCAATGGGGAAATATCTCATCGTCCAGCGAAGATCGCCCATAGAGAACCGCCAATCAGCTGTTTAAAATAGCTGTCTTCCAAAGCTTCTGTCCAGAAAACAGCCATTTTGCGAAGGGAGGGAAACCATTTTGCGAAGGGAAGCCATTTTGCGGAGCCGAAAAAACATTGTTTTGCGAACAAAAGGTTCGCAAAGCAAGGACCTAATCAATGTAAAGCGGATTTCCCCCATAGGAACAATTGTTTTGCGATTGCAATAGCAATTGCAAAAAAGTCATCATCAAGCAAGTCAAGCGATTTCGTCGTTTACCGGATTAAGCGTCTAGCGGGGCACAAGTGGCTTGCCAGTGAAGTATAAAAGGATTAGCAGAGATGGGACCAGAGGAAGGAAAGAAGGGAGGCTGTGGGCTGAAATGTGAATTTGATAGCATTGGGTGTGAACTCCCGAATCCATCTGCAGCCCCTGTGTGATAACTGACTGTGAATTCTGCTATAACACAGGAATCAAACTGCGGCAAAACTGAATTGGAGTGATTTGGCTCGCCAGTGCAGTAGCAGCCACAGTTGATAAGCAGAGTTCCTATTGATTTGGAAAACAGGGTAACTGCCTACACCAGACTTGTTCTGAACTTTATAGGCCCTCCAGAACTGCTGAACCACAACTCCCATCAATCCCAGAAGATTATGATTACAGGAGTTGTAGACCAGAACATCTTGGGAGCACATTAACCAGTGGAAGCTGAACTGGATCAGAGAAAGAAAATAGGATCTCCAGACTGTGTAAGAATAAACTTGCTCATCATAGGAATTAATTTATTCATTAAAATTTTTAAAGATCATAAGGTGTACCCGCATCAGATACATGATATCAAGAACACCTATCTCTCTTTTATGCATTCATGGCTGATACATGTATCTGGTGTATCAGTTTTGTTTCACCCACTAACTACTGAATCTTCTGCCTTGCTGTGGCAGAAAGCCAACGTGGGTACAACACAGTATAAAGGCAAGTAATTGTCAATTCTAATTAATGGCATGTTTTTCATATAAACTTTTACAAAGAATAAAGACTAAGACAAAAAGGGAGGCAGAAAAGGAGGACGTACAGTTTTTTAAAAAATAAATGATTAATAGATATCTATCTGTGCTGAACGGCTGTTGTTTGTTTTTCCATAAGCAGGTAATGCAGAGACTTCCAATGTGCATGGAAATTGTAATTGATTAAGATGATCAGCAGCCTTTCCCCCATTGGCTTAAAGCAAACGTATGGACTGATCTCTGGAGGCAAAGGACCAAGCACTGAAGCTCTGGGTTGAAATTATTTTTGTCCCTTTTGTTGGCCTGCCAGTAATTCTGTCACTCAGTAGGATGCAGCTCCTGAACTCCATGTAGCACAGCATGTGACAGAGAGTATCTAATTAGTCCTGCCTAACAGGTAAGAGATGAAAAGTTGGATGATTAAGATATGGAATTGAATGTATATATAAATATATATAGCCTGTAGTGAAAAAAAAGTCTCAGCAGCGCCTTATTATTTTGAAGTGGTGCTTGAAAGGGGTTGGGGAATAATCCATTACGGTTGAGTCATTTTTTAAAAGGGTTCTGAATATTTACCAAGTATCTTAAAATAGGATTTTCAGAAAGATTATTATTAGTCACTTAATATGCTTTTAGAGAATTAAATTCTCCACACCCCTTCCCCTAAAATCTCAACAGTTCAAGAAGGAATTAAAAGCAGTAGCCACAAACAGAAAAATTGCAATTAAAACCGCATACCATTATATCATGAAACCTGGCTTCCATGAACAAACCCTGGAACAACTTTGCATCTGCTACTGAAAATATACATGCAACACAACCTGGCTTCATAATTAGTCTACATATACACTATATATGTCCGTAAACCCAAGGCTGTCTGTGCTCACTTTCTACACTGTACATTTTCTAGTGCTTATGTAAGGTATCAGCCACAATCCATCACAGATGCATAAGGTGTTTTAATCTCATGGAAGCCAAGTTTCAAACTGCATTGTATACTTAGCTGGTTTCTAAATGATCTTTCACGTATGGCAAATGAATTATATTCGAACCTGTGACCAGCTCTCTGATTTCCAAATCTGTAGTCTTGCGGAGTAATCGTACTAATGCTGGAATACCCCCACAGTTTTTCAAAGCAATTTTGTTGTCGTCATTGGCCTTCCCATATACCAAGTTCCTCAGAGCTCCACAGGCACTGCGGTGGACTTCAGTCATCCGATGATCCAACAGGTCCACCAGTAATTGTATTCCTCCTTGTCTTCTTATCTGAAACGGCAAAATGAGGTAAAATAAATCAGAGGCAAGTTCTCAGCGAAGTGTAACATACTGTCAGTCTTCTGTAACAACTGAGAGAGTGCTGATGCTAACAAGACAAAATGCTGGACAAACCTTCTTTGTCTTTTCAAGGTTATTATGGAAAGTAAAAGTACATTACTTGGGAAGAGCAAAGCACCCATCAAAACAACTAGGCAGGTGATGGAAGAGCAGCTTTGAAAGAGACTATTTTCCTCACTTGGAAAGAACAAAATAAGCCACCTTCAGGGACAGCAGATGCCACCTGCGCTGAGGATCTGATTTTCTGGCTATGGTAAAAGCTGTCATCATAATTATTATCAGAGGGAAAAAAAGAGGAACACCAGTGTCTAACTGCTTGCAGTAATTATATATCAACACCATAGCTTCTGCAAGGCTATTAGCTGGTTTGCAAATATGAGGAACATGTAGCATTGGCTTATTAAAATTATGGTAAGCACACGATTAAAAGCAAAACTCTGATTAAAAAGTATAATTCAACTAATGTACAGAATGTGTGTGTCTTTCTAGATTTTCTCACATGAAATGTTATTGCATTTTCATCACAAATAGAAGTTAAAAGGAAAACGAAGAGTAACAGTTTTGAAGGCATACTGATTATGTGTCATGACTAACAGAATTAAATCAAAACAAAGTTCACAATTCATGGAAAGGAGGAAATACCTTTATTAAAACTAACTATGACTAATTAGATGTATTGACTTTGTTGTATAAGTAAACAGTAAAATGTATTTTTCAAAACATTGCATATAATATTTGGAAATTAAACCCAAAATGATACCATTATTAGTACAAGTAAAATTTATAGTCATCTACAAGGCCAACTGACACCCAACACCCTGCAGGAAATCTTGTAGGGGAGAGAAGTAGACAGCTCTACTCTAATCAGAGGGACCGTTCCCTGGGCTTGACTGGCTTGGTTCTGTTTTCTTTTAAATGGATGGCTTATAATGTACAGGTATTATTTTATTAATATTACAAAGCAACTTTGAGGTTTTTAGTTGAGAACCAGAAAGCAAGCACAGTAAACCAATATAAAAAACAGCAACATCCAAAAACAAAAACAAACAAAAGAACTAAGAAAGTGTAACTTAAGGGGGGGAGGTCCTGTCCCTAAACCCCCCAACCTCAGATTTTCTGACTAATGACTGATGTGAATTATTCATTAGTGAATTTTATATCATGGATATAAATTGTGAAATACCAAAGATGCTTAACAATGAAGGTAATATCTTGTACAGATTTTTGTAATAATGTTCAGACAGACAGACAGACAGACAGACAGACAGACAGACAGACAGACAGACAGACAGAAGTCCAACTCCCAATCCCTGGCTCTGCAGCCATATACCCAACCTGCTAATCAAGCGATCGATCGATCGATCCTTCCTTCCTTCTTCCCTCCCTTCCTAGATCAAGCGATCGATCGATCAATCAATCAATCCTTCCTTCCTTCTTCCCTCCCTTCCTACCTATAATGCAGCTGATTATCCAGTCTTGTAAGACCCTCTGAATGCTTGTTTAATATGTAAAGCAGTTCTTGTTACAAGCTCACACTTTATTCTTAAACAGAGAGGCAGATGACTCACACAATCTCCCTCTGGCATATGATGCACATGGGGAATCACATCTTTGAACACTCCCTCCCAGAAAATATTCCCTCCACCTACAGAATTAGCTCTTTACAGAGAAGGTTTGGATTAAGAGTGGATGGAGTAATCAGTTTCCAGTCTGTTTTGGCACCTGAAGACTCACAAGTACATTCCATCCTGTTTGTGCATCAACCTGTGATTTTTTTTAAACGGAAAAATATTGCATTATTGTTGATTTTATTTTTCATGAATGATACAGGGCATTACTGTTTTAAGTGTCCATTGAGTAGTAAGTCCTTCCAGCATAGTAATGTGGGGCTGTTTTGTGTGCGCAAGCATAACCACTGTACAAGTGGCAATCCTCAAAAAGAAAGCCCACTCTCTGCTTATACAATGGCAAAGCTTGCCCAAGTGCCACAATCCGGCTTTAATATGCTAGTAGGGCTTTATGATACTGGCTGTATTTTCATATGCTCTTGACTGTTAACATACAAATTTTAATACACATTTAGGCACTGAGCTGAGAAATCAATTTTAAAATTCAATAACCAAAGGATGATTCTATAATTATATTTCTATCTGGATTAACAGCCCAAGAAACACAAATTTGGAAGATTCTGTTAAAATGCAGAACAAGATCATAAGGTAACTGTGCTTTGGATTTTTTCCTTGGGATGAGAGACTGCATTTGGACTAAATGGTGCAATGTAAACCGTCATAGAGGTGAGAAGATTTGTCAAGATTCAAAACTGTTCAGGAAGAGATTCATTTTTATTCATCCAATATTACTTCTTTCATATTATTAATACTGGGATATTTTATCATACAAAAAGCACAGCTATTGAGGAATGAATAGTTGTTTGCTTCTTCTTATTATGTTTTCTTAGAGGTTACACGTCATGACAGTGGTTTCATCTACGTCATTACACAACAGCAGGCAAAACTGGAAAGACTGACATACCAGAAGGTTCCCCAGTTAACAAAAGGAAAACCGAGACCCTAGGCTTAGAGCTCTTTTGCTTTCCTTTCTTTCTTACACTTCCCAGATGCAGGGAAGAGGACAGACCCCACAACAGAAGTGCTCTGATGGGCAAATGGGGTTTACTTCATATTAGATGGAGGGGAAAGTGCTGGCAGTTGTTAACTCAAGGTGATACAAAAGTAAATTCCCCTGTCAGTTTTTCATAGAGGCAGGTTGGGGAATAAGCTTTATAACATAATATACACACTTACCTTGAGATATCTGAGAACATGATAAGGTGAAATTACATTTGATAACCTTTCCTTCTCAGTGTCCATAGATAATTTACAATCATTTTGCTATTGTATATAATATGATTCACAAATACAGTAGACCTGGCTTGTGTGCAAAAGTACATGAACGAAATGTTCATATATTCAGCCAGGCAATCTATCTCTTTCACATGTACATTCCAGGTCTTTGTTTGGCCCACCTTTGCAAGCAGCAAGGAAGAGAGAAGATCCAGTAACATAGACACAATTGTGAAAATGTTAAGCCCATGTGTCTTTCACATTATAGAAGAAACCATCTTTAGTGAAGAGTTTTAGCACAGTATACCTATAAAATACATAATGTTTATCCTAGCAGAGCTGCAGTGAAGCTAGGACTCACAGAGTTGAAGTCCTAGGACTTTCTGATTAGCAGGGCCTATCACATCATCTGCCACAACCTTCTGTCTTCTCTGCCCCCTTTCAGCTTATTTGCAATCTACAGAATAGCTGGGGGTGGGGACAGATTCTTCCAGGAACCATATACTGTATTATTGCAAACTATCCTTCTTGTCATGCAAGGTACTGGAGAGTGAGTGAGCTGTTAGGAGGCATTAGCACAACAAATGCCCACTCCTCATTTATTAATATGGATCAATAGGGATCAATCTTGTTGTTTGCATTTTTGGATTCATCTTGTCAGATGGGGAAGGATGATTATTGGAACAGTTTTGATAAATACTTGCATCTCCAAATTTAATATCCTACTCCTGTTTGCAATTTAAAACAAAATCTTTACTACTATGTTCTAGTAGCAGTAAACTACATTAAAGTGATCTTTACTACTATATTCTAGTAGCAGTAAACTACATTAAAGTGTATACTTCAGGCAAGGGTCTGAGTGTGCAAAACAGTTCTTATAACCTGGCAAAGCTCAGTGGCCTGTAAGTACATCTAGAACTTCTAGATGTTCTTGGTTACCAGTACCATAGGTAAAGATAGTCCAAAAGTGTCTGGAGTTCTAGGCTAGCCCACCCTGTTTTAAACATACATGGGGTATAGGGAAGAGACAATCTGATTTTAAAATCACGTCTAGGTCTGACTCTGGTCCTTGAACATCCCATCCTTTGCTTCAAGGAAAATGATATAAGCACAAAAGGCAGTAAGTACAAACACGTATTTGAAACTAAAAATACAATGTATTCTTGAATACATTGCCGGCCACAGAGACTGGGGAAACATTAGGACGAAAAACCTTCAGAACATGGCCAAACAGCTTGAAAAAACTACAACAACTAAAAATACAATTATTTTTAAAAGGGTGTGTTCAGAATAGATTGAAGTAAAACATTGAGAAAGATGACTGAGATGGACAAAGGAGGAGGAAGAGAAGAGTGAGACACTAAGAACAGTGTTACAGCCTTCACCAAAGGAAACATCTGGCGTCTTTCAACATTTCCTCATAGTGTCAAAAGCCTATGCAAGGAGTGTCCTCATACTGCAAAAGCAAAACAAATTCACCTTCTGGCTCCCCACTTTCACCTTTTACTGCTTGTGATAAGCACCAGCCAAGGCACTTACTTAATCTAAGTGCCTGAGAATGAATTGCAGCCAGGTGTGTAAGTGGCTAAGCAGCCTGCAAACCTACTGCCTCCATTAACTCTCAGCTACCTGTCTTTGACAGAGCATCAAGGTCATTTATCCCATTTAGGAAAGTAAGAGGGCTTCAAATCTTACAAGCTCCCCATGAGCTGTTGATACTGGACAAACGTATACTGCCATCTACTGCAGGACAAAAGCCTTTAATTGCTATGCTTCCAAAAATAATGTAAATATGACTAACATAAAATCCAAGCAACAATAAATCTATGGAATCTGTCAAAAGTTAGTGCCACATATTTTTTCTAAAGCACTTCAGTTACTTAACTATAGCTGTCAGTTGATTAAGCTACCTTTCTCATTAAATAATTACATTTCATGTACATATCTGTATTAAGTTTAATGTTCAACATCTTAGCAGAAGTGCCGTTTAAAAACAGTGGTCATGTTCACATGTTAATGTTAAGTCAAGGTTCAAGCAAAAGTTGCATTCACAGAACATAGCATGATTGGGCATGCACTCTGTGTATT